TAATCTCAAGGTAACAAGTGACAAACCAAACAATGACCTTCAAGTATCTCATCATTTTATGGTTACTTAAAACTAACATATATTTTCTTTTGGAGTCATGCTGAATAATTTACCAGTTATTATGAAATATATTATACTCAGACAAACTATTTGGATTGATTAAAATTTTTAAAAAATTACTTAAAAGAAAATACAGTACTTTAGATGTTATAATTGCTAAAAATAATAATTCATAAATAAATATCTATTAAGTGAATCAAGGATTATTTTGCGTTTGATTTTGTAGGTATTTCATGGCAGAAAAATAAGATTGTCTTTTTAATTTCTATGAAAAATGTTTTTTTTATTTATATAGTCATAAAGTAATGGGTCATTATAATTAACTACTTTCAATGTAATGGGTAATGGTAATTTTAATTACATTGCAAAAAATGAGAAAGTAATTGTAATGATTACATTTAAAAAGTAATGGTAATGTAATTAATTACATATATCAATTTTAAAACAATTGGATGATAACTTTTGGCGTTAGAGCGTTCACAAGAAATTGTGGACGATGGATGGACAGTCGGACGGATGGGGGCGATGGCAATATACGTCCACATTTCTATGTGGGCGGATAAAAAGGCCATTTTTCAGACAATCAGGGGCCATAATTCAGGAAGTTACGTTCCGATGGGCGCAAATCTCGAAATGAACCAAGATCTTTGGGTTATAAACATGCATGTCAAGTTTCATGCATGTCAAGGTCCACAAGCTAAAAACGTGATTTTTCATACAATCAGGGGCCATAATCCATGAAGTTTCAATCTGATACATGCCAATATCGAAAGCAGTCGAGATCTTTTGGGGATAAATCTATATTTCAAGTTTCGTCAAAATAGGATAAGAATTGTGACCTGTAGAGAGTCCTCAAACAATTGTGGACGGACGAACGTCCAGACATACGGATGGACAGGGGCGACGACAATATACTTCCACATGAAAATGTGGGCATATAAAAACTGTAGCCTGTATCATGTTCACATCTAAGATAGGTTGCCAGGCAATGAAACATACGCCCCCAGCAGCTATATCGAAAGGAACCAAGATCTTTGGGTTATAAACATACATTTCAAGTTTGATCTAAATCAAATAAAAATTGCGACCTCTACAGTGTCCACAAGTTAAAAACGTGATTTTTCGTACAATCAGGGGCCATAATCCATGGAGTTTCGATCCAATACATGCCAATGTCGAAAGGAACGTAGATCTTTTCAAGATAAACCCATATTTTAAATTTTGTCCAAATCCGATAAGAATTGTGACCTGTAGAGTGTCCACAAACAAATTGTGGATGGACGGAGAGACAGGGACAACAGTATACGTCCACATGAAAATGTGTGAAACTTTCAATCAGTAGAAACAGGAAACACAAACCAAATACATGTACAGACAGTTTGATGGGATCAATTTTGACTAAGTCAAAATGATGCATTTGATATTCAGATAAGTTGATATAAAATAATTAATAGAATACAATATCAAAAACACATGGTTTTATCCAACGTTTCGTCAGTAAAAATACTAACTTCTTCCGGGATGAAGAACTAAATTCAAAATGACTGGAAGTCAGTTATGACATCATAGGAAGTTATGACATCGTGGGATTGATGATGTCATAGACTTAGATACATAACGTGAAAGGTTAGCTTAACTAAAACTTAGGTTAAATTTTACAAGTAAGGAAAACTTATGCATGATTATGAATGATTTTGAAACGCCCTGGATTTAACTCATTTAAACTGTTAGGCCAAACTGAATCAAGTCTATGAATCCACAGACTTTCTGCTGTGTTCAATTTTTTCTGATCTTTATCAGGAATTTTTTGTACTATGGTACACACGAAATCATGACCGGGTATATTAAAATGGGAGGTTACATGGGGGGAATGGCCAGGTTTTTTAAGCTTTATATTACTTCTGTGCTTATTAAGTTGAAAGCTGAAAGGAGTAATGGTTTGGCCTACATATTGTATACTACAATATACAACATAAGAACTGGGAAATTTTATGAACTTTTCCTAAAATGTAGAAATGGGCTGGTTTATCAACAGCTAGGTCTGTCCAAGATAGCTTTCCGTTCATTTTCCGGAATTTAAGGCCAGTCACAAATTTTGTCAATTGTCCATGGATCTTGCTGGACTTGTCTCCACTAACTTTCTCATACACAGAGTTATCTTCTAGATGTTTCATACATTCTTTAACATAGTCTTCTTTATTCCAGATGACAATACTACTTCCTTTATCAGCTTTACCAATGATAATATTAGGGTCATGCTTCAAACTTGATAAGGCTTTCCTCTCTTCGCGAGTTAAATTATCTCGTACTTTATTTTCTGTGTAGTTTTTTATTGTTTGATACTGGTTGGTACAGTGGAGCTCCAGAGCTTCATCCCTTCCACAAGGTGGTGACCATTCACTCTTGATATACAGTGATTTAGGTAAGATTTGCTGTGATGGTTTTTCAAAAAAAACCTCAGAAAGTCTTAGTCGTCGATGAAATGCTCTTAAGTCATGAAGTTCTCTAATTTGGTCATATTTATGTGGTACTGGACAGAATGATAGTCCTCTATTTAAAAGTTTTACTTTAGCAGGTTCTAACTGTCTAGTACTTACATTGTAGATGAAATTTTGGGAAACATGTTCTTTGTCTTTTATTTTCTTGAATCTGCGATTTTTCTTCTTTTTCCTCACTGGAACACAACTTTTTGCTGTTGATGTTGTGTAGTTGGCAATCTTCAAAGTGTTTAAAGAGAAGAGTTTTTTTCTGATGATTTTGTTGTATGGAACGTTTAAGTCTCTGGCAACTGTATTCAGTTTTTTCTAGTTGTAATTTGAAATCTTCAGGGGGCAGTAGCTGTTGTAATCTGACTTTGGCTGAGACTAAATTATTCCTAATGTCAATAATTCGGGTTTTGTAGAAGTTGATGGATTCATTTCTGAGTCTTTTTGAGGTGTTGCATAATATCAATTTCCATGAGTTATTAACTGAGGAAACATCTTCACATGGGGGTTTTAGCTTGATTTGCAGGCATTTTGGAATTTAGTTCCTTCATCATCTAGAGCTTGAAGATACAGTCCTGTTTAGGTAATATGTGAAACTTCCAATCAGAAAAAACAAACTAAATACAGACGGTTTGATGGGATCAATTTTGACTAGATCAAAATGATGCATTAAATTTACTGTAGATATAAATAGTAACTCAGTTAATTTCCTAGATGTAAAAGGTGTCAAAGAAAAAGAAAAGTTAGAGACAAATCTATATTCCAAGAGAACAGATTGCCATCATTATCTTCCTTCATCAAGTTGTCATCCCAAACACACCTTTAACGCTATCCCTTAAAGTGGTGCTCTACGTATAAAACGGATTTGTAGTAAAGATAGCTGGACCAAATCAAACCTAAAAAATTTTGGATCCTTTCTGAAACAATTCGGATATCCCAAGAAAATTATTCTAAAGGCATTTAAACGCGCAGATCAGAAGACCAGGACTGAAATATTGACCGACCAATCCAAGACCGATACTAATGTGAACATTATTCCATGGACAACTACCTTTGACCCTAGACAACCTTACCTTCACCAAATGATTAAAGACAGAAGTATTTTAGACACAAGTTCACGTATGACAAAAATTATGAATAGCAGCAAAATAATAGCAGAGAGGAAGAACCGCACTATTGGCAATATCTTGAAAGAAAATAAGTTGAGAACTTCTGACACTAGTAATAAGCATATTAAGGACAAAATTTCATACGGATGTCAACCTTGTTTACGAAAATTATGCAAATCATGCGAGACTATGTGTAATAATCAAGAAGTAACAGTAAAGACATGAAATCATTCAAGATTAGAGACTCTGTCAACTGTGCCAGTTCTTATGTTGTATATTGTAGTATACAATATGTAGGCCAAACCATTACTCCTTTCAGCACTCGACTTAATAAGCACAGAAGTAATATAAAGCTTAAAAAACCTGGCCATTCCCCCCATTTTAATATACCGGGTCATGATTTCGTGTGTACCATAGTACAAAAAATTCCTGATAAAGATCAGAAAAAATTGAACACAGCAGAAAGTCTGTGGATTCATAGACTTGATTCAGTTTGGCCTAATGGTTTAAATGAGTTAAATCCAGGGGGTTTCAAAATCATTCATAACAATGCATAAGTTTTCCTTACTTGTAAAATTTTACATAAGTTTTAGTTAAGCTAAATTTTCACGTTATGTATCTAAGTCTATGACGTCATCACTGCCACGATGTCATAACTTCCTATAATGTCATAACTGACTTCCAGTCATTTTGAATTTAGTTCTTCATCCCTGAAGAAGTTAGTATTTTTACTGACGAAACGTTGGATAAAACGATGGTTTTTTGCTATTGTATTCTATTAATTATTTTATATAAAATTAAAGAATCCCCGCCAAACAGAACTAGCAACAGACTTGTAGATTTAAAAGATCTTTATATCAATCCAACGTTTCGGGTACAATACCCTTTTTCAAGAATGATTTTTTATGAATCCTGTGACGCCTTATATACAAACAAAAGAGATGACGTCACAGGTTTTTTAATTTATTAATGTACAATGATTGGTTTGAAAGAAAATCATTGTACATTAATAAATTTAAAAATCCTGGGACGTCATCTCTTTTTGATCCAGATCCTACGCCGATGTACCAGCCTGTCCAGCTTTTCTACTGATTTAAGGGAGTGTTGCCGTAGCCCTCCTCGTTTTCCAATTATTTTATATCACATGAAAATGTGGGTACAGTTGATCGGTATGATTTTTAACATTGTGAAACAAACCTGGCTACAGTGATGACAAGTTTGACATACCCAATTGTGTCATGGTTCTCATGGGCCTGGTTCCTGATATCTCAAGATATTTATAAATCAAAGTAACAATGTCTGATTTGCACTGGGCCAGAAAATATAAAATTTCTAAGTTTCTTACCTTCTTTCGCCTTTCTTTCAAACATATTCACAAGTTTCATAGAATTATTTCTTGATAAATTACAATCTTCTTGTAATTTACACTTTTGTTCATTTATAAGTTTTAATTCATCCACTTTCTCTTGTAGTGCCAGCTCCATCTTTAATCTTTCATTTTGCACCTGAACATTTTTCATAAGCTGTGCTTTAAGTTCATATGTTAGCACAGAGTCATCTGAACTGGTATCGTTCTTCCTGAATAAAATGATATCACTAGATGTATTTTGAAAGTATTTTAATTAATTTGATATTGACAAAGGTTACCTGATATCTGTGATCTCCTGGTGTGGAATGTTGACTGGAAGGTTGGATTGAATTAATGTTTCATCCTTGCAAATGAACTGGTCCTGGATTTTGTTGTGTTTGGTTCCAATGATAAGTTGTTCTGAGTCATTCATCAATTCATAATGATCTCAAAATTTACATCTGGTGATGAAATCATCAACTGGCTGGGACTGATCTTCCTGAAAATTTTGAGGGTAAACCGGTTTACGCTCATGACACCAACATTGTTTTTATAGGTCAGAACAGATTAAGCTGTTGTAGAGGTAATATAGTGGGGTTGCATATAGGTGCTCCGTGGTCTGCACATGCGAAATCAATCAGGAGGCAAAGAAACTTGATGTCACAAGCATTTTTTTTGTTTATAAACAATATTTTATTTCATTTGAAAATGGATTGGAGAACAGGCTAAGCCTATGTTGACTCCTCTCCAGAATTTACAAAAGTAAGTCCAATTTATGTACATACAAAACATATATACGACAAGAACATATCAAAATACAAAATATAAAACTATTTGAGACTTTTAAGAATATAAACTAAACATTTATACATATATACAGTTGTCCGTTCCGTTAATTTATATTTGTTATACATTTTTTTTAAAATATGGTACCAATGTAGTAGTGCCGCAAACGCCCGCCCCTCCATTAAGACCTACCTAAACGTGAAGTTTATTTGGTATATTATGTATAGGGTAAATAAATCAATAACAGACGGGATGAGAGAGAGAGAGAGAAATGGGGTTTAACGTCCACGCGACACAAACTAGGTCATTTCGGGACTAACATATGGTTTAATTTTATTTACATAATTTGCTTGCGCGTAGGGGTCTTTAGCAGTGGGAGGAAACCGGAGGACCCGGAGAAAACCCACGAGGTTTGACAGGCGACCCTTCTCCTTGTCACGTACAACTGGGGATTCGAAACCACGCCAGCCGACTCAATGACAGACTTTATGATACAGCGCGCGCACGCTAACCATTCAGCCATCCAACCCCACACAGATGGGATGATTTGGACGTTAGAAACGTTTTGACAATTTTAAAATGTTATGGGCAGTGTTAAAAATCAACTGATTTTGATCAACTCAGCATCACTATCACGTCATTAATGGAGGTGCCCTGATCTGTGCCAGGACATTGCATGTAGTCAAAATTGTTGTTTTAAAGAATGTGTTGAAATTGACAGGGTAATTGCCTTTAATATTTTTAGTTTATTCCTGTATGTGGTAAGATGTTCAAAATTAAAGTTTTAATTGGAGTTTTTATTGTTTGTGTTAAAATTTGTTTTCAGTGCACCTTTACAATTCCTCAAAAGCAAAGATGCAGACAATCCTGACTTTTAAAAACATAAAGGTGCACATGATTAAATCAGCTGTCAAACAACGCATCATAGCATAAATCGTGTTATCTAAAATATATATAACTGTCAGTAGTTTTTTCTTTGAGGTGAGATTTGTACTTTTACAGTATAGATTTCTCGATTTTTAGTAAATTTGTACCAATATCGGTAAAATTCTAATTATCGCAACAAATCTAATACATAGAGGCTAAAATCTGTAGGTACGGTGTGTTAATTAACAGGGGTGAGAAATTGACTGAAAGGTGATATAATTATCGCTAGGGGTGAAAATCTCGGCGACGGTGCGTTTTCTGTACTGGTGTGTTAATTAACGAACGGGTTAAAAACAACTGACATGGTGTGTATTCTTTGTTTGGTGAGTTTTCTCGAAAGCGTGTTATAACTGCAGCAAAGGTCATTTATCAAGGACCAGCAGGCTTTATCTGACGCGTGGGTGTTAAATCTAATTTACCATGCGATTTTTTGTTCGACATCGGTCTTTGTTAAGTGTAGGTCTTTATACATGGATTTATACGTGGGATAGATACGTATATCCTTTCTTATATGTATTTCATTTCTTGATGAATACTACGTGTTTTGTACTTCGTATCATAGTCGGACTGCAGTTATTTATATATTTGATCTTTTTTGTCGGTTTAATTTGTTTACAAATTATCGTGCGTACCACTATATAAATGCTCGTATCTTAAAATTGATCACACGCAGTACCGTCATTTCCCGATATCATAACCAACCCCAATTTGATTATCCGATATATTCTAATCGCCATTGTTATCAGATTAACCAATCTGTTTTCGAAGCAGCCATTATATTGTAATCATATTTTCATACAAAACGGCTTTTCGCCGATTTACATGACGTCTTCCCGCTATATTCGCATTAGGGTATGTTTGGTTCCCTTCTTTCAACAGCTTAGATGACCCTTCTTGGACAATTAGTCAAACGTAAAGAAATCTAACTCTCGGTCCCGCATCCGTTGCATGTATAAATCGAAAGCATGGACTAGGCACGGCTCCATGTGTCGCCTAGCTTGTTCTATTCTAAAAGCATGCAATCGTCTTTGGAAATCACTTTGGTGTCTTTTTCTTTATTTCGGTTGCTTTATTTGAAACGATTTTCATAATAAGCCGTAGTAATTTTTTTTTTTTTTTTTTACTCCCAATTCTGCTTAATTGTGTGCGCTTCGAAATCTAAAAATTTAACGTAAAACAAATCATGGATACGGGTTTAGAATAGGGTTATAGCATGATCTATTTGTTAAAGGCCTGTTAATACAGTATAAACAATATGGAATATTAAATATGTGTCCGTATCAGTGATGGGATTTTGCCCGTATATTCCGGACTTGTCCGAATCTTTTTTTTCCAAACGCCCAAAATTGTCCGACCGGGAATATGCCCAATCGGACATCAAGACATGGTGAATAATATTCAAAATTCCGAAATTAATATAGTTTACTGAGTGTATAACTACCACTCAACCCGATTATCATCGATAATACGCTGGGTTTATTAGGTAATTAAGTGATCAACGTATTTATCGTGTTATACCATCTATAGTATAAACCTACCTTGATTTAACTACTTAATCTGCCTTGATTGACTGACTTAATCCTTTGTCGGACAATTCATCAATCTAATCTTAAACAAAAGTCATTGCTTTCCTGTTGTCGGACTATTCATCAATTCAATAAGAATGATTATAATTTATACCACGTGTTTACCTCGTTGTTTCTCATTTGTCGGACATCTTAATCGCATTGATGTGAGCCGACATCATCTATAATAAACTAATCATAGATGTCACATATCGTAAGAGTAAATAACACCCTAAATCAATGGACAGTCATTTTGTCTACGATATCTTTTACGTCTTTTAAGAATCCATATAGAAATTCTCATCCACAGTGGCACTTTCCCTTGATCTCGAGCGCGGCACGAATATTGCTTAACATATTATTAGGCAGTGCTTACTATGAAGCCATGTGATGTGAGTCACGTCCCAGTTAACATTGATGGTTAGATTTACGTAAAGTTTACGTCATTATGGTTAGATTTTGGTTAGCGTCCAATAATGGTAAAATTCTTTGGTTAAATTTACGTTACTTTTACGTCATAATGGTTATGGTTACTTTTACGTCAGAAAATGACGTAAATGTAACGTAAACTTTATGACGGATTACTAACCAATTTTTTTCCCTTTGAATACTTCTTGATTAAATAACATTACAAGTGTGTGCACATTCTAACAATTGATATATAGTCGGAATTCAGACATAATAATTATATATGTATTATTGGTTATAATTCTAACGTTAATCTAACGTAAATTTTACATCAGGTTTCTAACCGTTAGTTTATGGTTAGTTTTCTGACGTAAATCTAACGTTAGTTTTCTGACGTAAATCTAACGTTAGTTTTCTGACGTAAATCTAACGTTAGTTTTCTAACATAAATCTAACGTTAGTTTTCTAACATAAACCTGATATTAGTTGTAAAACGTAAAACAAATGTCAGTTTAATGTCATGATACTAACAATTAAGGGCCTGACAAGACAGCTGTCTAGTCATTAAAATGGGACAAAAATGGGTAAGACCCTGGCTCGCTAGCCTGGAGGTCGGGTGTTCGATCCCTGCATTGGCCGAGAAAGTTCATCCAGATTTCCGGCGTTTTTTCCCCTTGTCAGTGATGCAGGACGAAGAGCCTGACAAGGACAGCTGTCTAGTTGTTCAGATGGGATAAAAAAAAAAACGAGGTCCCGTGTACACATTGGCATGAATGTAAAAGATCCCTTGACAGTTGGAATTCGATATAAGAGTAGGCCGTAGTGCCACTGTCGGGGCAAAATTCCCCTCATAACACACTGTATGGTGTATGGCCATCTTCATTAGCCCAGTTCGGAGCAGAACAGTTGGACGTTAAACCCCATTTCATTTCATTACATTTTATATCCATTTCTAAGTGGGGGATCACGTCGCTAAGTGGGTAAGACGCTAGCTCGCTAGCCTGGAGGTCGGGTGTTCGATCCCTGCATTGGCCGAGAAAGTTCATCCAGATTTTCCAGCGTGGTTCTCCCTTGTCAGTGATGCAGGACAGAGGGGCTGACAAGGAAAGCTGTCTAGTCGTTCGGATGGGACGAAAAACCGAGGTCCCGTGTACACATTGGCGTGCACGTAAAAGATCCCTTGGCAGTTGGAATTCGATATAAGAGTAGGCCTTAGTGCCGCTGTCCGGGCAAAATTTCCCTCATAGCACACTGTATGGCGTATGCCTGTCTTCATTAGCCCAGGTTAGGAGCAGAAAAGTAGGACGTTAAACTCCATTTCATTTCATTTCATTTCATTTCTAAGTGCCCAAGAATAGAGATCTAGCTCCTTTAATAGTTGCGAACTGTAGGTGACACACAAAGAGAAAACGAATGAATGAATGATCTACTCTCATTTCAAATTCCAAATGTCAAGGGTTCTTTTACGTGCACACCCACGTGATGGACTAGACACTGTTTTTTTGAGGTCCTCTGTCCTACACCACTACTAACAAAGGGAACTT